ACTGAACAAAGCTAGATGCAGAAAGATCTCTTGTCCATCACAGTTTTAGTTATACTAAAAACAGACTTTTCTGTCTAGCTGTCTCCAGGCAGGTGTGGTTAAAGGGAATCATGGGAGGTGTAGGAAAAGGTGTACAATATGCTACCATAAGCTGTAGCTTAGGAAAAGGCATACAAAATATTCTTTAGGTGTTGTTGCAGCATCTTTCACCCCTTGCCATGTCATCTGAGAGTTGTGATTCAGCTACATCTACAGAACTACAGCATTCCTGTTTCTAATTTAGAGGATTGCGGAACTGCAGAACTTATTTATAAGGACAGCTTTAGAAATCTGATGCAGAAACAGAGTGAAACAATTGTTTATTTTTCCTCCAACTTGTGGTTAACCTGCAACAATTTATCCAAGCCTCAATAAAAGAGCTACAGACCCAATTTTCTGGGCAAAATACATTATCTAATAAAATGACCTTGACTTCATTTCATGTAGAAATGTAGTTATATAAATGAAATAAATAAAACAGTATCATATATATGCAAACCCATGTTGAATCTGAATTCCTACTCACCCAACTGAGTTGGGGGATTCTATTCTTACTGAACATTTTCAACAACTATTTTCAACAAGATTTAAAGGAGGAGGATTTAGTGTGATAAAATATTCCTTAATGCAATAATCCCTCTTCAGACTAGGCAAAAATAGCGTCAGGCTAGAGTTTAGATTAGAGGTATAAATTCGTATAAGATGAATTGACAATATTTGTCCCTACAAATATGGAACTGAATTGAAGAAGCTTCCTGGATGAGAAGTGAAATGTTTTGAAGGAAAAATAAAGTCCAGTTTCCTTTTGAAAAAAGCATCTTTGGGATATTTGTCCCTACAGTTTAATCTCACATTGGAAATATTTATAAAATACTAATATTACTATTTAATTTAAATATAATACTGTAAACTATTTTCCAGAAATATTTATTGCATTTTTTAAAGTTTAAATCATCATCAACTACTGTACTGATTTTGCTGCTTCAGATCCCAATATATCATTGGTCAACCCTGTTTCCACATACCAAGATGTTTGTAAGTTTTGTACGTTAGTTTGTAGGTTAATTACCTACAAAATAATAATGCACAAAAATGAACTCCTATGAGTGAAATTACAAAGTAGAACATGACGTTGGTGCCTGGTCTTCATCTGCTCACTCATTGGAAAAGACCCTGACGTTGGGAAAGATTGAAGGCAAAAGAAGAAGGGGACAACAGAGAATGAGATGGTTATACAGTGCCATCGAGGTAATGAACATGAATTTGGACAAATTCCAGGAGACAGTGGAGGACAGGGAGGCCTGGCATATTGTGGTCCATGGAGTCACAAAGAGTTGGACATGACTTCGTGAGTGAACAACAACAAGAGCTTCAACTGCCCCCTACCTCTCACTTACAAGCCCCACGGAGAAGGATTCCACATAACTATTTTAAGAGCAGAAATATGATTCATGGTTCTTGTTTGAATTCTAAAGTTTTCACTGGAATCGATTTGTAAAGTTCTAGTTTGTGGAACCCAGAAATGTGGTATCGATGAAGTGTCCTAGATTTTTTTAATAGGGCCTCTGGAAAGTGATTCAGCAGAAGGGACTTGCTTCCATCTGAGCAAAGCAGTTAACTGTACTCAAACACTGCCAAGAATGATCATCTCTTTTCCTCTCACTTAACTTGTCGAGAAAGGCAATATATGGATGTGAGAAGTGAAGTTTCATTACTGTCTTGAAAGAGCAATGAATCATGAAACACAAGATAATGATAGCAATCACATTGAAATTAGTTGCAGGTATTTTGCTAATTTGTGTAAAAGCATACATATAGTGACAGATCATAATCTTGGTCTTTTAATCCAGGACTGGCCACGAATACCTGAATATAGGATAGCCAGCCACAAACGTAGGATAGCCAGCCAAGAGGAGGCTGGTGCAGAAAGCTGACTTACCGTATATTTATTTATTGACATAAACATGGTTAAAGTACAAGCATCGTGTTTATAACGGAAACTAAGTATAACTGGTTTTTATTCAGATCCAGTGAATTTTTAAGAATAATTGCATAGGATTTAGCCACTTTACTGGGAACTTTGGAATATTATTTAGTAAGAAATGCACAATTGCCTGTTCAGGATCAAGCTGAGTTGTTTAGCTCCAACCATCAGGTGAGGGACAATTCCAAAGCACTTGTGTGACTGATCCAATTTCAGTATCTCAGCATGTGCATAAGCAGTTTTGATGGGCAATAATACTGGATCTCCCAGTCAATGCCATTGAAGTAGGGTGTCTAGGCCTGCCAGCAAGAACACTCAGCTGTAGCAGAGCATGAGAACGCAGCAAAATATTTGGGAATGGTAAGAAAACCTCAATGAAGTAGACGTCTGCTAAATCAACTCTCTGCAAATAAAAATCTAAAGTTCCTTGCTTGATCCCACTCCAAACTGTTCTAAACCCAGCATTGATACAGATAGGGTGGTAAGACAGATCTGACATAATCTGATTCTTCCATAGGAAAGTGAGTTTATCAGTACAAGATGAGCCAAGGACTCTCTTTAACAGAATAGGCTTCCAATGAAACATTGAAACTCTAACCAAGGGAGGGTGTTCTTTGTTAGTCTGAGCAGGAAGCAATGAGGATAGATCTCAGAAATGTACAGTACATTGAACTGCTTATCCACAGCAGTATCATTATGCTTACAGACAGCACTGTGTGCCATACCGCAGAGGGCATAATATTTCGGCTTTGAGTAATTTGATTGGTGAAGGAAGAAAAGCCCACAAACAGCAAATGAGATCATTTTATACTTTCCTGAAAGTGGACGATATCTCAGCTGACATCAGCATTGGGATTCTTTTTTTCTTCAACTTTGCCAGTTCAGTTATATAGACAAATATCTAAGACTCTGAAATCTGGCTAGCTTTCAACACTTACAAATTGGCCCTGTCTCCATTTCTTCATATTTAATGCTTCTGAAAAAAATTGATAATGCCAGAATCTCATATCTATTGGATATAGCTGCAGAATGCAAACCACTTTCTACTCCCTGATGGGCAATGTCTCCATCTGGATGTGCATAACTAGCTTCACACACTGGTTTTGTTGAATAAACAGTTTGCATATTATCCAAAGTCAAAAATGATGATTTAAATACAACAATGGTTGGGATCATATTTATACTTTAACCATAAAAAATAAACCCTTATGACTTAGCGCTCTGTATGAATTTACTGTGTTAAATTTCTTTGGCCAATAGACCTTACTTGACCAGTTTGGTAAGCTAGCGAGATTCAAGGCTTACCAAATATTTGAACCTGACACTTCTTATCAGTGTCTAATAAGCGAAGACTGACTTCAGTATATTTAAATATCCATGTACATTGCAAGCCCTGTGTATCTCCTTATTTCTTCTGCTTCAGACTGATATTCACTTTTTAAAGTACAATGCATAATGCTTTGTTTTACTAGATTGTGGGATGCTCCGTTCCCAAGCGTTCTGGTGGGGAATAGGGTACTAATCAAAAGAAAAAGAACAAAAGTCAGTGATAAATCTAGATTTGAAGAAGAGCTAAGTTGAAATGCCTGGATGAAAAAAATATATATTTAGAGGGAAAAAATTACTTAGCAGAGGAAAGCTGAAATGGGCACGCCACCATGGGGTTGACCCAAAAAGGAAGGTCCTTTTGCTTGGACCATCCACTGCCTCTAATGGCACATACTTCTGATAGAAGGAGAAACTCTGCAGAGGGAATCTAGATAATTGTAATAACTGAATACCTTTCTGGGGAAGAACTTCTCTAAAAGAACTCTCTGCCTTCACCCTTTAGGCCAAAGTGAACCTGCCATATATTCGACTTTACTTGTTCTTACTTGTTATTTTGAAGTCACTAGCCTACCATTTCAGAAGTGACTGGTGTAGAATGCTATTTAATGTTTGCCTTTCAGGGACTTATTTATTGAAAATCTACTCCTGGCTGTTTTCTACTTGTGGGGTAAAGACATATTTGTAGCCTGTAAAGAATGTCAGGCTTCAGCAGATCCTACCTTGCAGAAGCTGTTTTCAGCTGAACCAAAGAAAAACTCAGAGGACTCACTAACATCCAGCTGATTTGTTCAAATGTATCTCTTGTCATACATTCCCTGCCTAAATGTAGGTGGCAAGTTCCTCAAACTAAGAATTCAGCCATCACTATTATAAATAAATCGAAGTTGTGCACGTCTCCTGCGTGTGCTACATGTGCCGACAGTAGGATATAAATAATACAGTACTCCTGTAACAGTAATATTGCATACTGAGATCTTGCCGAGAGTTGAATTTCTGCAGCTTCCTCTCCCTTTTCCCCTCAGCCGGCATCTGCCAGTGGCAAAGATGTGACTGAGACCTGAGAATAATTAGGTAGGAACTGATAACAAGGGAGCACCACACAATCCTAGCTTTGTGGTGTCTCATCAAGAAAATGGAGAAGAAACGGGAGAAAGCATAAGTGGAGAGGACTTAAAAACTAATCAAAAGAGACTGATTCTGCTTCAAGCCTGATCTTTTTTTCTTATGGTGTTTTTTTTTGGTTCTAAGAAAGAACAAGCCCAGGGGAGGCTGTGCGACTGTTTTTCTCTCTGAAAGAGACCAATGGGCTCAAGAGGAGAAGTGATGCTACATTCCCATCTTCCAATGAAAAGTCTCCAAAAGCTTAGATTTTGCCCTAAAATAGCATCATACCAAACAAGTTTATATGAGGGCCATAAGGAAACAAACTGTTCTCTCCCGGTTTTTTTTTTTTTTTTTTTTTTTTTTAAAGCTAGGATATGCATTTGGAGAGGGTTCACAGAGAAGGAAGTGCCTCCAATGCCGGCTTCTGAGATTCCCTTGATGGCAGGGATCACTCTATGGGGACAGAAGGCTCCCCAAAGAAGCCTTTAAAACTTGCACAGGTTCCCGGACCACAGCCAGCCCCTCTCTTGCCTCTTGACCTCACCTGCGCTTGTATTCATCCCGTTCCCTCTTCACCTTGGCCAGGACATTGTAGAGAGCCCGGATTTCAGGGGTGATGGTGTCTATCTGCACCCCAACGCCATCCGGGTGCATCCAGGAGACCCCGGGCCCCTGAACTAGGGTAGTCTCTAGGCCTGGCCCCAGACGGCGAGCCTGTGAGAACGACCAGATGGTCCCAGGCAGGAAGCGGGAGGATGCGGAGAAAGCGCTGCTGGGCAAGGAGGGAGAGTGGCAAGAAGTGGGGGTGAGCGGTGCTCCCGGGTGGTGGCAGCTGGGGGAAATCAGCACCCTCGACGTGCTGCTGCCCAGTCCCACCGACCGGCTGCCGCTGCTAGCCCCGCTGGTCAAGGAGAGTCCCAGCGGGCGGATGGGGCTGATGAAGCCGGTCTGGACGGCTTGGTCCCGGCGCTGCAGGCTGCCCCGACGGGCTCCCCCTTCCTCCAGGGCCTGCTGCAGCTGCTTTTCCAGCTGCCGGTTGCGGCGCTCCAACTCGTGCACCTTGGCCAGGAAGCATCGGAAGCGGAGGTTGAGGGTCTTCAGCACGTTGATGTTGGAGCCCAGGTCGTTGCGGAGGGCCATGGCGGCCGGCGGCGCCGGGAAGGAAGACCCGGCGGCGAGGGAAGCCGGCGGGGCCAGTTCCCCGTCGAACGAGTCGCCCTGGGGCTCTTGGGGAAGGAAGAGGTGGGCCGGCAGCTTCTGGCGCTGGCGCTGCTCGGGCCCCGCGGCTCCCAAGCCCTGCTGCTCCTGCTGCAGGAGGAAGAGGTTTGGGCCGAATAACGGGTTCATGGCTCCGCCAGCCGTCCCGCAGCTGCGACAGGGAAGGGGGAAGCGGCCGCTGGGCGGAGAGGCGCAGCCCGAGCAGCCAATCACCGCCGCCCTCCGCGGAAGAGGGGCGGGAAGGAGCCCCGAGCTGAGGAGGGAGGGATGCGACGCTGGACAAGAGAAGACGGTGCGGCGTCCTGCGGGAGGAGGGATCCGCGCCCACGGACGGCGGAGTGAGGCGAGCGCACCATGGCCCGCCGACGCCGACGGCCTGGGCCGGCTCTGAGGCAGCGACTGCGGTTGTCACAGAGGATCCGGCTTGCAGCTTCTCCCGCTAAGCGGCGGGGAATAAATTGCTCGACCCGTCAGACAAAGCGGGAGGATCCGGCTGGTGTTTTTCCCCCCCTTTTCTTTAATGCCCGCCGTCGTTTTGCATCATCCCCATCAGCTCCCACCGGAGCTATTGGGGATCAGAAGGCTTGGCAGCGTAGACCCCTAAATTTTAGCGACCAAGGGTGCTGAAGGGACGTGCTGATCCTGTCCAAAACCAACCGACCAACCCCTGCAGAAGCCTTTGCCAGCGGCAGGCAGAGTTTCATTTACACGTTGAAAAGCAGAAAGCACACAATGGAACAGATGACTCCCTTGTAATATTAGCTTCTGAATCTTTTGAAATCAGTAACCTAGGATTTCAGAGGTGAACGAATGAAAAGAAAGCTGTTTAATGGTTGCCTTTCAGGGACTTCTTTCTTTACTCAGAATCTGCTCCTTCCTGGCTGTTTTCCACTGGTGTGGTCAAGACATATTTGTAGCTTGTAAAGGGAGTTAGGCTTCAGCAAGTCCTGCCTGCAGAAGCCGTTTTCAACTGAACAAAAGAAGTCAGAGGACCCACTAACATTCGGCTGATTATCATTCCCTGCAGCTGAATCTTGCTCTCCAAATAGAGTATGAGATTTGGCATGAAAATCACAGCAGCATCAGCAGGCATTAAGAGCTGCAATTGTGATGGCTCACTTTGGGCAGAGATAGCGGTAAGTAGCTTGGGTGGTGAATATATATATATATATGGACACCTGAGAATGAGCAGAGAGCAGGTTTCTGTCCAAACACTTTAACTTGTTCACGGATTATCTGAACCTGGGTGGGTGAACAGTGGAATATACATTTGGAAGGAATACTAATTTGCTCAGTATAGTGTAATTCTGTGAAAAAAGATCCCAAAAGATATCTACTAAATGAAAAAAAAATTTTTTTTGCCCATTTTTATTCCATGTTATTGACAAGCATGTTGATCATTACAGAATTCAACCAAACATTCTTAAATGTCCAAAATGAATTGCTTTCCTTAAAAGGAGCTGAAATACCAACATGATCTGGAACAAAAGGAGGCCCTGTAATATTTACCTCGTTACCCAGATGGCTTCCTGCCTTCTTTCCAGATCCTCAGTTCACATTTTGTATTCTGGAATTCACACAGCATTCTGTGGTTTCAGCAATTAAAGCATATGCTGAGTCTTCATTGACTACTTTGAAGGGGAACAGCCTTCTTGGACATTCAAATGCACTCCAGCTTACCAAATACCTGGTTCCATTTTATCTCCCACCTTGTCCATACTCATTCCCTGCTATTAGGGCAGGCATTAAAATTTGGACTAACAAAGAATAGAAAAAAAGATTGATCCAAAAACATTGTCACTCAAATTCTACAGCCTCTAGCAATATAAATTTGCTAGGTTTTATTGAGCATGTCAAATTCACTCTTAATTTTTGTAGTTTTATTATGTTTCTGTTCAGGAACAAACAACTGTGCAGCATTCCTAGGATCCCTTCAAATTAAATGTACTTGCTTTACTTCCCCCCCACAAAAATACTGATACATACCACACTGGTAGATAGGCAGCAAAAATGTCTTGGCAGGTTTTCAAGCCCCAGACCTTCTGACTAGGAACACACTAGCTGAGAGTGCTTTAAAAGACACCCAGAGCTCCACCATCTGAAAACAAAAATCTATTGGATTTTTGGGAGAGCAGCAAGATAGATCAGGGCTTCAGCTGCAGAGCTTTATCATTACAGGTTAGACTTACACCCACCCTTTCTGTAAGAGCTCCAGGCATCCTATACAGAATTCTCCCTTTATTTTATTCCCCATGATCATCATGTTAAAAAGGCTGAACTGGGGAGTGTGGATTAAGACTTTGGTCTCTCCAATCCTTCTCCAACATCGTAACATTATACCATGCTGCACCTGTGTGCAATTAAGTTTAAAATACAGCCTTTTGTTTTTAAAATTCCATATACGTAATTTGCCACTTTTAAAATCCAAACCCACCATCTCAGAAAGCAACCAGGAACCAATGAAATTGGTTTATGATTAAATGAAGCCAAATTACGCTCTGCATAAAGTTGTGTGTGCTTGCTTGCAACGTCTATTAGCCTTCTGCAAAATTGTTCCAAGAATTTTAAAGCTTTTGCCAGCCCGATAACAAGCTTATATTTATTAATCATTGTATAGCCCCAAGTGTTGAACTCGGTTGCAGATGACAAGGAAGTGTTATCCAGACACATCATGAAATCAAGGAAAATTTTAATGAGAGGTAGGGGTCTCATACAAATAGTCTCTGCCCTTCAACAGGCTAAAAATAAATGAAGCATCTGAAGTGCAAAGGGGAAATGCCTGATCACTTTTGCACAAGTCTTGCCAGGACACATTATCTTGGTAGTCAAGATCTCCCACCAGTCATCCCAGAATTGCCAGCAATTATTCCATGGTGTATCAAACATAATGGCCTCCTCCTACTGTGGGTTTCGTTGAACCCTGCCCTTTTTTCTGGGAGTTGACTTAGCCCTTAGTCCTCCAGGAGAGGGCCAAGCAGCATTCAAGAGTCTGGACTTTTTCTGAAAGTTGCTTTGTTTGGAGGCAGCAAGCGCTTTCTTCTTTTTACTAGCTTTCAACTCCCCTTTAGCCTCCTTCCTGGCTGCGACTGCAGCTGAAAGCTCTTGCTTTGAAGCCTGCTGCGGACTGGCTTTACTTTCTGCATCTTTTTTCTTTTTAGGTGGAGGTTCAGTTGGAGCAGATCCATTTTTTACTGTTTGCATTGTTAGCTCCTCACTGGGCACTTCATCTAGAAGTTAAAAAATAAAATTAGATTAGGAGCAGTCATCAGATTACGACGTTTTTCAGTTTTTAATTTATTTCAGGTTTTAACATCTTTAACAGGAGATTTCTGGGTCCCAATTATTACTAAAGGTTCTGAGAAGAGGTGGTACAAACCCAATTCTCATTTTAATTTAAACTGCACCTTCCTCACTGCTATTAGATAAAGGTTTTGGGATGTTCAAACCACACAGTAATTTACAGTTGATTAATTTACTTTTAAGAGTTAGCTTCACTGGAACACGTTTGTAAAATGTCAAATTCATTTACACATATTATTGTAAAGGTGTGCAGCGTTTGGGTCTAATGCAGGCAAGAGGGCTTTGGATCGAAAAAGGCATCCTTGGCCTACACTGCAAAGGAGATTTTCTGGCCCTGCATGATAGCTTCCTGGGCTCCGCAAAATACTTGTCTGAGTTAAACATGCATAGCAGCCTGCCTCCATAGGTTATGCATCTCAACTCAAACATCGACTGCAGTGTATCTACTTGTGACATCTAATATAATAGTGAGGTGTGAGATTCACAATCTCCCCAACATACTTAATTTTCTCCTTGGTTTCCATTCTTTAGCCCTTTTCCTAGCAATTATTTAGGTACTGTTCAGGTCCATCTCAAAATAAAAGCTTGTTACTCAACTAAACAGATTCTGTGGATAGCAAGATGAAGGGTAATCCAGCAAAGTAACGTTGTCTGGTTGAAGATGTTAATTTATTTCCAGGTTTATGATTCCTGGTGGGTGTTGTTTGTTAGCAAAACAAGGTTTCTGAAAAAGGCAAGCTCTCAGACTTATTACCTTTCTGAGGTTTAGGAATGGCATTGGAAAATTTTTTCAATTTGGCCACAAAAAAACCATCCATATTGTGGGTGTGAGGATAGAAACGGCGCGTGGATTTCAAGGACGGATGGAAACGACGCTCCCTAAACCTAGATAAATAAATGCAAAGAAAAAGTGATGCATTTCCAATACCCGAAGCATTTGAATGAATGTCCACTGTCCCACTTTATTTTTCAGAATACAAACCGGGTAAATCCTTCTTTGCCAAAGTCCAGACCCGTTGGCACCAAGCGGACGTTGCGCTTCTTCAGGGCATAATCCACCACCCACTCGTTCTCTTCCACCTGTCACCACAGAGCACAGGCAGTCAGGTGGGTCAACGTCTCCAGCAGAACAAAAGCATCAGTGCAGGCAGCAAATAAAACAGACACCTACCATGACTGAACAAGTGCAGTACACAACGTATCCCCCGGTCTCAGAGGCTGCGTTAACGGAGTCAATGGCACTGAGGATCAACTCCTTCTGTAGGTGAGCACAGCGCAAAATGTCCTTTTCATCCTGAAGAAAGACAGGAAGGTGAATGTTAATAGAAACAAATCTCAGTACTTTTTTTAAAAGGGGAGATTACAACTTTCCACCAGCAGACAGAGGGGGGACTGAACTCTGTATTTTTCAGTGCCTTTTTTACCATCAGCAAGGGTCTAGAACAGGGGTGGCGAACCTATGGCATGCGTGCCCAAAGTGGCACACAGAGCCATGACGTCAGTGCACCCGTTCCTCTTCCAGGTTTCTTGTGCACATGTGCACACAAAGATCACCTGGACTTGTGGCAGTGCTGGAATCCGGAAAACTTGGTCTTCCATTTTCCGGTGTGAGCCTGCACGCAGGGCAGCTGATTGGTGCATGTGCATGCACGGCAGTAACCGGAAGACTTGCTGACTGGCGCGTATGCGCGCACGCTGGAAACCAGAATTTCAGTTTCTGGCACACACAGGCCCCCTGGGCAGCTCCTCTTCCTGGTTGCAGCCCAGACAAGTGCTCCCTTTTTCAGCACTCGATGTTCCTTTTCGGCGAAGTGCTCCCTTTTTGGCACTCAG